ATTGACCTCCTTTTTGCCACATCATCAAGACTGGCAAAAAAATATCGTTTTTGCAAAAAAAAAATATCTTTAAAATAAACGGGACTAATAGTCTCGTGTAATTAGCGAACATTAATTACAAAAGTAATTAAAGTAAGAAAATATACGGGACTATCACTCGTGTATTTTGTCAGAACCAGAAAATACACGAAACTATTGTATATGTTCTATACACAATACAATTACCCCAGGCAAGTGAGTTATAATATCATTTTTCATTCATATTGTTTAGGAACAAGATTTGATAGGGACCTTGCATCAAAGAAATTTTTTTAATATTTAGAGCACATGATGAAATATACCATAATCTCCATACTCTTAATTCGCAAGAAAATAATCCTTCATACTTTTAATTTTACTTCTATGGAACGGAGAATGAGCTATAAAATTGAATGAGAATATTATTATTAGATAATGTAAATATGAGTGAAATCATAACTAAAAGTTAATGTGAATGAGTCAAACCACAACTAAAAGTTTAATGGACATTTTGCTAGTAAATTCATATGTAAAATTTCTTTGCGAATTGAATGATGATCATTCATCTTTTGAAGACTTCAATATACTAATAAACAAAGATGTTGTGCCAGATCAATGTGCTTATAACTCACAAATAGTAGATCGCGTAGCGGCAATCTTAGTTGGATGAAGCAATGACAATATTTCATTTAAAAGAAAGATTATTTAGTTGATCAACCCCATAAAAAACTTTATTTTATTTTTTATTTTTATTCTATTTTTATCAATTTAAATAATCATGATATTCAATCACGTACATTGCACGTTTATCTCAACTAGTGCAATTAAGTATGCAAATTTTGAATTCACGATTTCATAAGCTCTAACTCATGATTTTTTTAATTTTTTTTCGTTTCGAGCCGAAGGCAATTAAATATGCGCACTTCAAATCCATGATTTTTAAGGTTAAAAGCCATGATCTTTGTTCATTTTTGTTTCTTTGATGCAATGACAATTAATTATTTGTATTTTAAAACTTCATGATTTTATAGGCTATAACTCATGATTTTTATCCATTTCGACTCAATGGAAATTAAGTACATGTATTTCAAAATTCATGAGTTTGTGAGCTACAATCAATGATTTTTGTTTGTTTTTGTTAGTTTCAACCCCGTTGCTATTACGTACGCGTACTCGAACAAAAATTCAATGGGCTAACTCATGATTTTTTTCTTTTCTTTTTTTCTTGCTTTGATCCAGTGACAATAAATTATACATAAATATTAGAGATTTTCATGGGCTATAACCATGATTTTGTCAATTTCCATTCGCTTCAACCCAATGGCAATTAAGAATGCATACTTTAAATTTTCACAATTTTCATGTGCTAACCCATGATCATTGTTTATTTTCTTTTGTTTCGATCAAATATAAATTAAGTATGGAAGCTTCAATATTCAAGATTTTTGTGAGTTATATTCCACAATTTTCATTCATTTTTGTTCGTTTCAAACCAAAGCCAATTAAGTATGCGTACTTCAAATTCACGATCTTTGTCTATTTTCATTCGTTTCAACCCAATGATAATTAATTATGAATACTTTAAAATTCGTGATTTTTTATAAGCTATGACCTATGATTTTTGTCCATTTATATTGACTAAAGAGCAATCAAGTATGCATACTTCAATATTTCACGATTTTCAATGATTATAACCCATGACTTTTTTTTCTTTTTTTGGTTCATTTCAGCCCAATGACAATTGATTACGCGTCCTTCAAATTTTATGGTGTCATTTATTTTCGTTTGTTTTCGACCCAATGGTAATTAAGTATTGTGTACTTCAAAATTTTTAACTTTCATATGCTAACCCATGATATATTTTTCATTTTAGTTTGTTTCAATCCAATGGTAACTAAATATGCAAACTTTAAAATTAGCGATTTTTATAAGCTATAACTCACAATTTTGTTCATCTTCATCCGTTTTGACACGGGCAATTAAGTATGCATACTTCAAATTCACAATTTTTATGAGATATAATTCATGATATTTGTCCATTTTTGATCCAATGACGAGTATTTACACGTACAATTGTGATTTTTATGGTCTGTGGCCTATGACTTTTGTCTATTTTTTCCTTTTAATTACACAATAATTAAATATTCATACTTCAAAAGTTTAAGATTTTCATACGCTATAATCCAAAATGTCTATTTGGTTGTTTTCGACCCAATGGCGATGAAGCATGTGTACTTCAAAATTTCGCGTGTGCAATGTGCTACCCCATGACTATTGTCATTTTTTGTTTCGATCCAATGTCGATTAATTATGGGAACTTCAAATTCCTCGATTTTCATCGGCTATAACTTGTGACTCTTCATTTTTGTTTGTTTCGACCTAAAGATAATGAAATATGTGTACTTCAAATTCACGATTTTTATGTGTTTTAACCGGCAATCATTGTCCGTTTTTGTTCGTTGTGACGCAATGACAATTAATTAGCATACTTCAAATTTCATGATTTTTATGGGCTATAACACCTGATTTTTGTCCATTTTTGTTCTTTTGATCAAATGGCAATATTGCATGTGTATTTCAAATTTTCACAATTTCAAGGGCTATTATCCATATTTTTGCCATTGTGTCCATTTCGACCTAATGGAAAATAAGTATATTGTGTTCTTTTGACCTAATGGAAAGTAAGTCCATTTTCGTTCTTTTCAACCCAAAAGCAATTAAGCATGCGTATTTTAAATTTTCATTTTCGTTTATTTCGACCCAAAGACAATTAAATACCTGTACTTCAAATTCATGATTTTTGTGTTATTAACCCACAATCTTTATCCATTTTTTTCATTCTGACCAAATAACAATTAATTACGCATAATTCAAAATTCATGATTTTTATAGGCTATAACCCATGATTTTTGACTAATTTCGTTCTTTTGACCAAATGGTAATGGCAAATGCGTAATTTCAAATTTCAAACTTGAAATTTCCATGAATAAGGACTATTATCCGTGATTTTTGTCCATTTTTATTCATTTCAACCAATAAAAATTAAGCACATAATCAAAGTTCACAATTTCATAAACTATAACCCACGATTTTTGTTCATTTTTATTTTTTTTTCGATCCAATGGAAAATAAGTACGCATACTCCAAAATTCTTGATTTTCATGGCCTAACCCATAATTTTTTCTCTGTTTATTTGTTTTGATCTAGTACCAATAAATTATGTCTACTTGAAATTAGCGGTTTCCATAGGCTATGACCCTTTTTGTCCATTTTCGTTTGTTTTAACCAAATGTCAATTAAGCATGTGTATTTCAAAATTTTAAGAATGTTGGGCAATTAAATAATAAGACTGTTAGAATGAAGCAACGCTTTTGGAGTCTTATATGATCGTAGAATATGATTAAAGGAAAAATGCTATAGGACGGTTATAAGACTAACAATGCTTCATGGATCGGAATTTTAGGTAATTAAAAATAATATGTGCAAAAAATGAGCATAGTAGAAATGAGAATGTTATGATGGTCTTGTGGGTATACACTAACAGATAGGATAAGAAACGAGAATCCATAATAAATTTGAGGTTGCTCCTATTAAGGATGAAATGAGAGAGATTTAACTAAGATGATTTGGTCACATACAACAGAGACCTCTTAGTGCACCCGTTAGGAAATGTGATAACATTATACTTAATTGGATAAAGAGATCTAGAGGAAGACCTAAAAGAACTTGATTTGGAGCAATTAGGAAGGATATGATAATAGTTAACTTAACATAGGAGATTACCCATAATAGAATGTATAGAAAAATAGTATTCATGTACCCCAAAAATTTGGGATAAAGGGTTAATTATTGATGTTGTATTTCAAAATTTTACAATTTCCATGGGCTATTAAGTACATGAATTTCAAAATTCACGAATTCGTAAACTACAACTCACGATATTTGTTCATTTTCGTTCATTTTGACCCATTGGCAAATGAGTAAATGTACCATTATTATAACCAATGTCAAGCTTTCCACAAGTATGTTGCTTGTACTAAACCTCCCAAGTCTTTGATGCGCAAGTCATAAGTCCAAATTTAGGGAACTAGTTAAGACCTTGTTTCGAGACATTATTTAGAATTTAGCCCCCTAACATTATAATAATCTCCATTACTTTGTTAATTATTACACTAATCTACAAAGGTTCACATAACAAACAAGGCAGAAGGGAGCAATCTAGGAAGAGAGGGGGCGATATTATAACTGGAATCATCCTTTTGCTTTAAATATAACAGCTTGACACTATAATATGAGGTTACTTTCATATGGCAATTGCTAGCAAACAAAAGCTCATTGCTTTATTATTTTTTTTAAATTAGTTGTTAAAAAGGTACTTAGAGAATCCATTGATTATTGTGATGAGGTTTTTTGTCTTAGATGGTAACCTCAAGGATTGGATGTGTTCAGAAAATAGGATATTTCGTGTTTAGGGTTCTAAGACTTTGTAGAAGAAAAAATATATCCCCCTTTTTCAACCTTATGCTCATTTCTTTTAGGATTTGGACGTGGAGTCAATAATTCAATGCTTAACCCTTCTGAATATTGATGTACTGTGAATTTGCCTTTCAGCTATCAATATTTCTCCGTTAAACATAGATATATCAGATATCAGAAAAGACTAAAGAATTAATCAATAATTCAAAGGTTGCAACAGAGATTGAGAAAAGATAAGAAGCAAAAAAATAATTCTTAAGAAAAAAATCAAGGATATAAATATAATTTTCCTCTAAAGCATTTTAAGGGTGAGAAAGACGCTGTGATGGATATTATTCAGTTAAGGGGCTTGGATGTTAGTTAATTTGTATGTCAATTCTTTGTTTCTTTTTTTTTTAGGGCCACTTCCCTCCAACAGTTTCAAACAATTGAGAGAAAAATATATGAAGCTCAAGATTAAGTTTCAGATTGGAATATAGGTTTGCAGATACCAGAGGAACATTTACCGTGGCAGAAAGGAGGACAATATTGACATGTCTTGGAAGCATAATTATAACTTCTTCCCAAACAACACCCCTTTCAACATCATTTACGTAATGCACTTCATCAAATATAACCTGTATGCACAACAGAGATAAAACAAAGGCCTTCTTAAATATTACACAAAGATCCTCAAAAGGAATGGAATTTCCAGTATGCATTAAAAAAATTTAAAACCCAAAGAAGGTTTCTTTACCCATTCAACATCACGAATAATATCAGCACCTCTGTAAAGCATTGACCTCAAAATTTCAGTAGTCATGATGAGGCAAGATGACTCTGGCTTCAAGGTAACATCTCCAGTAAGAAGACCAACATCAAACTTCCCACAGAAATCCCTATACTTTTGGTTGCTAATAGTTTTTATTGGAGCAGTATACACAGCCCTAGTGCAGTGCTGCACAATATGAGAAATTATTAAGGATATCAGCAAATTTGTGCAGAGTCCTAAGAGGTATGGTGATAATTGTTTATCACAAGGCTAATGTTTATGCAGAGTTCTTGAAAAATTGGTCATAAATTTAGGTCAAATAACATCTGCTATTATAGTTTACCATCACTGAGCTTTTCCTTTGCAAATTGCATGGAAATATATAGACGAAAGACAACAGTCCACGAGTTCAAAACAACGAGTCGACTGACTCCATTCTAAACACATGGGGGAATGACAAATGATGCTTGAGTAATCATTATCACAAACTGAAAGTAAAACATACCTTTGATGCTAAAGCAAATGCGTATTCTGCAACAACTGTCTTTCCAGCTGAAGTATGAGCAGCTATAAAAACAGAATCACCTTTCTCAAGATAATATATAGCCTGCATTCCATTTTCAGAAGCATGTTCATACAATGCAATATGTAAGTTGCAGAAGGTGCATCAGGGGAAGAAAAAACAACCACCAGTATATTTCCAGAATATAGTGAATATAAAATCACATAATATGATCATGTACAGAAGCCATTATTATATTTTCGTAGCTTCTGACATGTAAAACCATTACTTACAACAACCAAGAATTATAGCTCCTATTGACTACTCTGTTTCTTTTTTAATTTTCTTGCTCCATCTTTTGCATAATATTCCCACAAAATTATGCAATAGCAATAATGGCAAAGCCTCCTATGGGGAAAGTGGAGAAACCAATGTCTGTTTCCTTCTATTATTTTATGCAATATTTTATGTTCTTGTTTTGCTATTCTAAAATTTTATTTTTTAGTTAAACAGAGTTTTTATGTAAAAATCCATGTAGTTCACTAAAATTCAGGACCTGGTCGTCATTTACAGTAAAATACGCCCAAGACGATTACCAGCCATGCAATGTAGTTTAATAACACACTTTGCTTTAGCAATTCACTCTAATATTTGTCTGTGACATCGGAGTGAAATTTCCAACTATACCAGAATAGGAAATTCAGAAGAGAAAATGAAACCTCCTCTTTCCAGAAAGTGTCTCATATAGCAACAATTAAAATGATCAAAACATTCCACATGTACACAGTCCAATCAACTAATGCTAAAAGAGAATTGAGTCAAATAACACAAAAATGGATGGCTACAATACAAATATTTGATTTTATCTGACTTACAATCACTTTGTCAGAATGGCGTGATAAGAGGAAATCAGAACAGCTGTGCTTAGTAACATCATTATAAATTCAAGGCAGAGAAGAAGAAAAAAATCCATCTATCCAGATTAATTAAGGAAAAAAGGACTCTTAAGAGATTTTCTACGGATCATTATGATAAGAGTTGAACTAGAAAAGTATATTTCTCTCTCCTAATCAACAATATATAGCCCAGAGTACGTATAATTGATTTGAGAACAACTGGCAGATGTATAGTATTAATAAGAATTTCTTTGAAGAACTTTTTCCTGATACCTGCCTGCAAAAAAAATTCATGACGAAGATCTAGAAAGTTATGCTGGCAAAGAAGGCATGTCTCTTCACGCACTGAATTTCACTAACAAAATCACCTATGAAGGCACAAGCACATATCATAACTGTTTCTTCCTTGCAGAGGAGGGTCATGAGATGGTTGCTTCATGGCCACGTGTGACATGCACATGTAGCAAGCTTTTAAAAAAATCATTGTTCTGATGAATCTGATCAGCAGCTCATTGTAACATTTGTATGAACAGAACATAATTAATAGTTAATATAGGGTTAATTACAGGAAAACCCCCATGAAGTTTTGGGGAGTTGTAGTAAACCCCCCATCAACGTTTTTTTATTAGACTAAAACCCCTCTAAACTTTAGTAGTTATTACACATAACCCCCATGAACTATTTTAGTTCACTAAATATTACCTGAGAATTTATCTTTTAATCCCCATATTAGCACCATCAACTCTAACGTGTCACCGGTAAGCACGTGACAAAAGAAGAATAAAATTTCCTTCTTAATCCAAAAAAATATCCTTTTATGAAAGAGGAAAATAGTTAAAGGAATTCCATCTTTTTTTGGCATGTGTTTACCGCATGAGATGTTATAATCAATGGAGCTAATTAGATATTAAATGAGAATTTTCCATTGTGAATTTTAGTGAAATAAAACACTTCATGTGAATTATGTGCAACAACTCCAAAAGTCCCCCCCCCTTTTTTCTTTTGTCGGGGGTGTTGGGGGGGGGGCGGGGTAGTGGTGATAAAAAAGTGATGGAGGTATATTGCATCCCCCCCCCACCAAAAGTTCATGGGGGGGTTTCTATAATTAAGATGTTACTATATTAAGTGTTTGACATCTATTTTAAATAAGGTTTACATATTCAGAGTACGTAAAGGGGAATCATCTAGGTAAGTACTAAAACAACATAAAAAAATGAATGTAGTATATGAATAACATTAAATGCTTTATACCTCCTTTTGGAATTTATCCAACTCGAATGGAAAATCAAGTGCCATATCAGGAACAAGTTCATCAAAGTGATTTGCAATCTCCTCATTCCCCCCTGGGAGAGCCCAAGCCTGCAAAGGTGCCCACGATCATCAAGTTCTTAAGAGAAAGCAACTTCAATTTTTAGACAGCAGAGAAATATATAAAGAAAGCCTCATAAAGACATGTGATTGGAGATGACGTCATAATATGGTCTGCTAAACAAATAAATCGGAACATAGGTCTTAGCTGAAATAAAAAAGCAACAAGCAATTTAAAAAGAGAGAAAGCATATAATGTCAGCATGCCATGACAAGCATTTTGTTGCGAAGTTTTTCCATGTTAGACATATGCAGAAGTGTGATGGTTGAGAAAAATAACAGAATATAACACTTGATGAAATGGTACGGTTGTCGTAACTTGGAAAATCATGGGTTTGAGTGATGGAAACAGCCTCCTCGTGCTACTAGGTAGGTAGTTTAGGTCCAACTATCCCCACCCCTTATGGAAGCCACATGCACTGGCTGCCGTTTCTATTATTTTTTAAAAAATAAATTATATGACATGTATGTATGTCTAAAATACAGGTCAGTGGTAATTAATGCAACAAGATTGGGCAAATTGCCAGCAAGGCAAAAGTTACAAGTTAGGCATGAGGCATGGTTCGTAAATCAGTTTAAAATGCTTAGCGAGATTTTTTTTTTTTTTTTTGACTCAAATGAGTTTCAAGCAACCCCAAAAAAAATAAATCAGTAACAATCATACCTCCCCTTTTTGTTGTTTACTACTTGTGCTCCCTCTGTGTAGCTCTGCATCTATTTTTCTTGGTTCCTCCAGTAGAATCTTGTCTAAATCGAAGGATTCAGATTTAGGGTTAGTATCAAAAATAGGAATAGTGTCAAGAATACCATCCTCTTTTTCCTCGACTTGTTTGTCAGCAGAAACCGGATCTGTAAAATAACTTAAGCATGTAAGTAATGTCAAAAGGAATGCACAGGAAGATATTTCCATAGTCATCAGTTGAATGTCTAACAAGTATGTGGCAAACACATAAAACATACATGTTTAGCTACAAAACATTGATGATATAATTTTTATTGTTCTAATTTGATGAAATTCTAGTTAAAAGGATTCTCCTTTTACAAAAAAAATCACAATTAAGTAAACATGATTATCATCATACTTCATCTTAATTTTCTAATCAATTGAACGGACCATTTGATTTTTTTTAAAGATATCAAAAGGTAAAGAATAGAAAATGCGATAGGTGGATACATCTCGCTAAAATAAAATCAGATCAGGGTAGCAGCACAACTACCTTAATGCTTATAGAGAAACAAATTCTGCTGATTTTAAATTAAATGATAATGCAAAAAAGAGAATATAAGAAATCCATGAAAGGCAATAAAAAGATGCAAGCAGCATAGGCAGCGAAAGGCAAACTGCTACAGAACTTCATATACAATACAGAATTGACAACAGCAATCTACCAATGGATATCGAATTACAATGTAATGTAAGGTCTAAGAAAACAATGACTAGTGACCAACACAAGAAAACAATGATTAGTCACCAACGAAAAATTCAACCTTCCCCTTCACGCGGTTTCTGTGCAGAAACTCTGGTTAAGAAGATAATGAACCACTCTCCCAGACTAGCAATTACGTTCACAAGGGTAATATCATCAACGAAATGGATTTTGAGCTGTATTGCTGAAAGGTTACAGGAAATATTTATGCAAATAGATATTATGCAAGCTGTTCCTGTATAGTAAAATCTCTTCGGGAGAAGCAATAACTGAAAGGATGCATTCAAGAAAAACCGACTACACTAACACGAGAGTTACGCTATAGCCATCCTGCAGGCAAATTACTAGGAGTGCCACTCTTTTAGAAAGCCGTATTATTTGAATTACTCCAGTAATACATGATGTACTAAACAAAATTCCAACATGACACAAGAATTATGTTTTACATAGTTGTGCAGGAGCCACAACAACTCACCGTCACTTGTTGCTCCTTCAACAACAATATCTTCTTCCCAAGCCTTCTTGAATAACTCATCAAATTGCACAGACAACCTAGCCTGCAAACAAGCAGATATTCACAGTTAGAGACAAACACGCATCTACCAGTAATAACCACGAGGGATCAACCCTGATTACAAGAAATATCCCTGCATTTCAAACAGCCAAGTCAGCTTAACCATTTAGTTCATACAACAACGAAGTCAAGCTACACAGTAATAACCGTGACGGTTCAACCTACTTGTTCGGCTGAGAGAACTCACCAGATTCTTCCCAGAAACACTCGTAGTAGTGGAGATCTTACTGTCAACAAGCTTCCAATGGCACGGGCGTTGCTTCAAAACATGAAAGAGAGCGCTACCATTTTAGTACTCTGAGTTAAACCCACTGGATAAATTGTCAGACTAAATATGGATACCTTGAGACAGCCTAAATCCAGTCCTTTCTTAAAACTAGGAGGAACAGACTGAGCAACACCGCCGTCAACAATCTCGTGCACCCAATCACCACTTTTAGCACCCTCGGGAAGAGATTTCTCCGAAGGTGAGTCAACAAGACCGCCCGGGCGAAAAGGGCGGTTATTGACGCTCCCCCTTACAAAATCCTTCGCAGGCCCAGGCATCCGTGGTGTTGTACCAGAATCCTGGGCTCCTCCTAATATCTCCGCTACGTCTGCCTGAAATTAGCAGAGAATAAGCGAGCTAGTTTCAGGTAGAAAGCAACCACAGCTAAGTTAAACTTGAGCGTTTACGTGGTGTACCTCAATCGAGGCGGGATCCCAAGCCCCCGAAGGAGTTTTGTTCCTGGATCGCCTGAAAGGCAATTCCCAAGCGGGGACGACAAGGGACCGAGGAGCCGAAGGCTCCAGCGGCACTTTTGCCCGATCAAACCAATCGAAATCCCACTGCCGTCCACTATTCTCGACGGAGAACTCATCGGGATCCAATCTCGGCTGCAGGTACTTCTCCTCTAGGTATTTCTTCACGCTCTCCGGTGTTTCCTGCAGGGACGCTGGCGGCTGCAGCGACAGGTAAAACAAAAAAAGATTTAAAACGAGAGAGCGGAGCAGAGGAAGCAGTGAGAGTAAAGGGGGAGAGAGTGAAACAGAGAGATTACGAGGACGAAATCGGGGAGAGATTTCAGAGGATTCGACCGCTCCACCGGGGGAAGGGGCTCGAGCCTTAGATGGCCGCTGTGGCCAGAAAACCCTACTCTGAAGGCGACCTCGTTCGCTGCAGTGATCCGATCCATTGGAACGATGAGTACTTTGGAGGCTCTATATCTTTACTCTACGCTGTCTTGGAATCGCGCCCTAGCTCTAGCTGTTGTCATTTCTAGTGGCGGTATTTCTCTTTACTCTACGCTGTCTTGGAATCGCGCCCTAGCTCTAGCTGTTGTCATTTCTAGTGGCGTGGCGGTATTTCTTTTTCGAAAGTCTACTGAAATCGAAAGGGGGAAGAAGACGGAGACGGGTGTGTGGCCTTGAAGACCGAAAACACTTCCCGAGAGGAACCAGTATCGCAGCGGGCTCTACCCGTTCTGGTCGAGCCCAATGGACTCGTATAGTCTACGTAAAAATGTCATTTCTCCCTAAAATCACATGTATTTTGATGTGACTCCCTCAGATCACCATGGTAGCTATGACCCACACTATTGAAATAGGTCTCTCTAGTCGGTAAAAGTTTTTAAGTGTCAAGGAATATTCATTTAGAAGAAACTTTCTAAATAAACACAATCCTAATTTTATCCTTAAATTTCGACTGTATTCAAACTTTATTACGAAAATCATCTCACTTTCTCGTCACATCAGCATCATGGTCAGAAAGTGGGTCGATTTTTTTTAACGCGATTCTAATTAGTCTGGGTTGGCAACCCGACTATTTTGGACGTCGTTGACGATTTGGTAACCTAATTGGTCGGGGTTCGAAACCCCGACTAATTTAAACACATATTTAAATTGGTCGGGGTTGGGAACTGTTTGGTGGAAAATTTGCAGTAAATGAAACGAAGGAAAATTGATTTGTATTCCTTTAATCTCGATTACAATTGGATTTCCTGATTACAAAAGAGAAGAGAATGATCTGGATTCTTTCCTTTGTTTAATTCTGGGTTCTTCACGGTAGCGATGAGATGCCTCCCTCGAATGCTCGCGTCGAGTTTGCTTCTCGTTGACGATCCGACGTCTTGTTTCACTGGAACGATGTCTTCTCCTCACGATTTGACGTTGTGGAGAACTTGCGTGACAAGTTTAAAACTCTTGATGAGTTGATAACTCTGATCGAGTTTAGAACTCTTGAAAAAGAGTTGATTTAAACCGAGAATCGGTTCTCAAGCCAAGGCCGAAGGCTTCAAGGAATGCTCCAAAGGATGAATGTCGATCTCTCCCTTTGCTGCCAAGTCCCAAATCCGAAAATGCCAGCCCCAAAGATTCAGCCTCTGCTGCCAAGGAGTCCCAACAGACCGCCCCGAACTGAATTGATTTTCAGTTATTTATATGGGATTAAGGGGTGTAACTACCTCCTTAATTCGCTCCTAAGTGGGGCTAATGGGATGTAACCGCCCCTTAAATCACTCCTGAGTGGAGTTGTGATCCCCTCAGATCGTGGGAAATGGTTTTGGAACCGTTCAGCTGCAGGCCCGTGTTCTGGCATGGATTCTGTGTCCAAACGCAATGCCTAAAAGCTTGAACGCAGCATCTGGAAGCTCGGACGCAGCGTTTGGAAGCTCATTTGCAGCGATTTAAGAGCTGCGTTTGGCAGCGGATCTGAGCTGCGTTTACAGCAATTTGAAAGCTGCGTTTGTACGATTTAAGAGCTGCGTTTGGCAGCGAATCTGAGCTGCGTTTGGAGCTGGATGTGACCTGTGTTTACAGCGTTTGAAGGCTGCGTTTACAGCAATTTGGAAGCTGCGTTGGCAGCCGAATCTGAGCTGCGTTTGCAGCTTTTGGAGCTGCGTTTGAGCTGCGTTCGTGGCTATGAACGCGGCGCATCTTGATGCTGGTACGTGGGGATGACTTCCACGTCTTGATTTGAAGAGACCGTCGATTTGTAGTCTCTTTCTGTCAAAGCGTTGCAAAGATCGTCGTTTTGTAATCTTTGCTTTAGCTCTTTGATATGTGAGAGTCGTCAGATTGTAACTCTCGATGTTGATTGTGAAGGCTGTTGATTAGAGCTTTCATCAGTTGTTGCGAAGGTCGTCAGATTGTAACATTCATCGATCCACGTGAAAGTCTTCAAATTATAGCCTTCTGGAAGTCGTCAGATTGTAACTTCCATCATCGGTGTTTGATGGGGATCAGCTATTTATTGTGATTTTTAGACAGCCTACAGGAACCCCGACCATTTCGAAATGCCTAATTTGAAATGGTCAGAGTTCCCAACCTCGACCATTAAGTAGAGAGTGGTAACCCCCCAGTAGTTCGAATGGGAAATTGGCTAAGTGATAGAATAGTCGAGTTGGCAACCCCGACTACTTGTTCTGGGTCCCGCCCCCTATATAAACCAACCCACAACCCGGACGTCTGCGATTAGTATGCATAAAAAAATGATGGATGAAAGGCGGGAATGAGCTCCAAAAAAATAGGTGTGGATATTGCAGACAACCGGGCCATAATAGATCACATTGACCAACCAATCCAAATAGATAGCAATTAATAGGTACAATTTATTTAATTTTTAATTTTATTCTACTTTATTTATAAGTCAATGCTTATGTACAGATATTTACATTATGGAGGCGAGACCATTGACATATGAGGTCCTTTATGACCAAGATCGACATCGATCCGCGAAGATAGACTCTGAGGAGGTAAATTGCATTATTATTATTTTTAATCATATCATTTTTTTCTAAGTTATTGATTGTTACTGAACATTTACACTATTTAATATATGCAGGCCTAGAGCATTACTATAGTTGATCATACTCGTGCACATTCGAGCTGGGATTCGACAGATCCACAGGTCCAATTTTATGTTCGTCAAGCAGGTTTTTTTGAGTGTTCACAAATAAAATGGGTGAGACTTGATTGGGCTCTCTTGAAGGCATTGATTGAACGATGGAGGTCCGAGACAAATACATTCCTCCTGCGCCAAGGAGAGTCGACGATTACATTGAAAGTTATGACATGTTCTTCACACTAAGTTATGTTCCGAAGTCCGTCTGCAAGACTGGACTTCGCCTGAATATTAGACTTAGCCTGAAGCTTACCAAGCTCACCTGAGTCTCACCTCTATGTTTCAGAGTCAAAACGCAGAGCTCATGCCCACGTTCTAGATGCAAAATGCAGGGTTCATCCCCAACATTCAAGTTTAAAACGTAGGGTTCATCCCCAGTGTTCAAGTCCAGACGCAAAGCTCGTGGCTGCGTTTCCAGAACAAAACGCAGAGGTCCTCCCTGTGTTGCAACACTAAAACATGGAGGTCCTCCCCGTGTGTCAGCAACAAAACGTAGAGGTCCTCCCTGTGTTGCAATGTTAAAAAGCAGAGGTCGGTCGGTCCTGTGTCGCAACATCAAAACGCTGAGGTCATGCCTGCGTTTCAGATTCAAAACGCAGGGTTCATCCCCAGCGTTCCAGTTGAAAACGCATAGTTCGTGGACTCAAAACGCAGAGTTCATCTCTACATTTCAGATTTACAACGTTGTGCGAACATAACATTTTCAGCCTAAAACAGGCTCAACTCTGCGTTTCAAGTCTAAAACCCAGAACACCATTTTTGGCGTTTGGCTCGTTCAAGCTCGAGCTGAACGGCTCTAGAAACTGTTTTCCCCCACAATTGGAGGGATTTTCAGAGAATTGAGTTCGGGGGCTGGCTTTTTGGAGAATTGAGACCGACAATTATCTCTTAGAGCATCTTTGGATCTTGGAAGGCCTGGAGCATCATCAGGAGCCATTCTTGGAGCTTTTCTACTTAGCTTATAAACCAATTTTTGATTCAAATTAACTATGTTACAGAGTTTAAACTTGTTCTGAGTTCTTAAACTCATTAAGAGTTATTTTCAAACTTGCCACACAAGTTATCCTCGACGTCAATCAAGAGGAATCAACCACGTTCTAGTGAAACAAGACGTTCGGATCATCAACGGAGAGCAAACTCGATACGAACATTCGAGGGAGGTACTCCATCCCCACCGTGAAGAACCCATACCTAAACAAAGGGGAGGATCTCTATCGATCTTCTTCTCTTTTTAGATCGGGATTCCGATTGAGAAGATTTATAATTTCTTTTCTAAAGTTTGTTAGAGAGAAATTGTATTAAGAGCGCTGTAATCATTCTTTATCTAAATCAGTTAGAGTGAATAACACATTTTTGTTCTTAATTGTCTTCTTCGAATTTTCCCACCAAACATCACGTCGACAAGTTTGCAGACCGTGAGGACATGTCTTGATCATTTGGGCAAGCGTACACGCGACGACGACGTCCACGTGACGATGAAGCCGGCACTTCGCATGCTGATGGACGACGACGACGGCCACGTGACGATGAAGCCGGCACTTCGCATGCTGATGGAGCCGACACTTCGCATGCTGATGGAGCCGGTGCTTCTCAGCCTCATACATAACCGGATACTCAGATAATCGAGGCTCATCAGCAAGAACGCAGGGGGCGGGGAAGAGCGAGGGGGAGGGGGAAGAGAGGGAGGAGAGGAGCTATTTTGGGTTGTATGTGAGCTTATTTTGTTAAAATTTGTAACTGTTGATGCTCGTGAACAAACAGTCGATGGGGGTTGTCCGCCGTAGGATGCAGCTTTGATCCTGATGGCGCTGAGGAGAAGGGAGAGGATGGATGTTGGGGCCAACTCCTCCTCCGACTTTACGCCTGAGTCTGAGCGCGCGGGGGTGGGCTGATAGCCTGCACATGCAAGAATCGCAGGAGTACGGGGCTTGTTTCCCCCGTGGTAGGTGGGCTGATGACCTGCACATGCAAGAATCGCAGGAGTACGGGGCTTGTTTCCCCCGTGGTACCTCCGACGGTCAAGTTAGCTGTGGAGCTTGAGTGAGGTTTGGGGGAAGGTCCTCGGGCTATTGAGTTCCTCGGAGCGTACTCTTTTGAGAGTTTTCTAGTTCTTTTTTAACCAAGGTAGGTTCCTGGTTTTTATGAAGAAGAAGTAGCCAAGCCAAAGAATCACTTACCCCCTGCGTTCATCTTTTCTCCTCCTTTTATAGTCCCTTGCCTCTGACTGTGTTGTCCCTCAGCTTAGGTCATACACAGGAGATGGCTGAGAGGTGAGAAGTAGAGGTGCCGAGTCATCCTTCTTCTTCCAGATGTCGACTGGGGACTGGAAGGGAAGTCATTGGAATACAGGAGAGAACCGGCTTCTCTATATCCTGGATTTGATAGAAGAGGTAGGGTGTATGATAGGTTGGCTGCGTGGTCGTCCTTCTCTCTCCAGGTGGCAGCTGGTGATTGGAGGAAAAGTCATTAGTGCACAGAGAAACATCATGGCAAACTTCTGGGAAATAACTTGTGAGCAGAATAAGCGGCTTGGGCACGAGGTTTGTCAAAATGAAAATCTTGATGGGACTAATCAATATTGTTGTCGATTGATATCTGAAGTGAACTTGGTTGGCTCTTATTCCTTTAGTCAAGACGAGTTGGGTGTATAGTCGAGTCGACTGCTCGAGGAGTCATCTTAATTGTGAGGGGGCGACTGATCCCGCACTTCGAGTCGGTAATGATGACCCTTGATCGAAATATGGCTTATCTGCTCGTCTGGTCGAGAGACTTGACCTTGGCTGGGCTTATGAGCCTCTAAGTTGGTTTGGACCATAGCTTTCTTGGGCTTATGCAGACATTCTCCCGACACCTCTATCTTTGGATGGTAAATTACCATAACAGTAACTTTTATGAATTTTCAAATACTATACTTTTGTGGATCAATTATTGTTTATATATGTACTCTTTGTGAGTATTGTTTGATTCGTGCTTATTTCATGGTTGAATTATGTATATATTGTTGTAATTTAGTGTATATGAGATCAATTATTGTTAACAGGTAAATATAACTTATATGAGTTATGTTACGTATATACAGAACATGCACAAGCTGCTATGCATGTTTTGTAAAACCTGCAACTCCACGGAAGTTCAACTCCCGTGGAGTTACAGGAGGTAAATTTTCAGAGAGCGATTCTCTAAAAAATTTGACTGAAACTCCACCCGTAGAGTTTTTGCACTGTAACAAACTTTACGGGAGTTGAACTCTCGTGAAGTTTGTTCAACTAATAAAACTTCACGGGAGTTTAACTCCCGTGAAGTTTGTTTAAGCAATAAAACTTCACAGGAGTTGAACTCCCGTGAAGTTTTAGCTGTATGTTAAAATTCTGCTAAACTTCACGGGAGTTTAACTCCCGTGAAGTTTCGGTAAAATATTTTTTAAAAACCGAGCTGGTTTCAGCGTCAGGGCTGAAACCAGATCGGTTTTTTAAAATAAGTTCGAAAGAGGTCGTTTTTTGAGAATAAAAGTCCAAACAGGGCTGTTTTGAAAATTTGTCCGATATATACACAAATAGAACTGTAGGGAATCTACCCACAATCGGGTGACAGTACACAAACTCTGTTCGCAATTAACCCTAACAAAAAAGACTACTCTTATATATCTATCGATTGTCCCTCTGTATTATATATCCATTTCCATTCATAAGAGGTAAGACTACACGGCATCTATTCTAAATTTTATAAATCCATAATGTTTTTTATTTATATTGTAGAAATATAGTTCATTGGCCGATCTAATCGACCAATGTTATATCATCAGTTAACATTATACTAAAAGAAACTTTGTAATCTGATAAATTTATTTAAGGGGCTGTTTGGTTCGTTTCCTAGATATAGGGAAATGCATTTCTATGTACAAAAAACATAAGTTTTGATTTTTCCAAACTTTTCCAAGAAATAGACTGTTTCGCTTTAATTCGCACAAAAAAAAAAAAATGGTGGGAAAGCAATGTATTTATTTTTCTTGTGTTTGGTTCGCATGGAAAAAAGAGAAAACTTTTGTTTATATGGCAAAAAGCTGACGTGGCTGCAGTTTTCGTCGATTTCATGAGGTTGAGGAAGGAATTGAGGGAGAGAAAAAAAATCTGATGTGACGACGTTTTTCACCGAGTTTCCCTTCTTCAACCCTAGCGAACCAAAGATGGGTAAAAAAAACCCGACGGAAAGCTTATATCCTACGTGGCCATGAAAAATCTGATGTGGAGGCGGTATAAAACTTTTCCACCGAGTTAAAAAACGAACCAAACAGCCCCTAAGTATACAGCTAATGCAAGAAAAAGGCCTTGAATCGTTTTGATGGTATTATTACAATCGTTTGACAAAGGTTATAGTATAATTTTTCAGACGGGTATATTATATTCAGGAGGAAACCCCCGGCAAAAGAAAAAGGAAAAAGGAAAAGAAAACGTATTTCACCGGGTCAGAATCTAGGGTATGTACGTTACAACGCCGTTTAATTCTACGATTCCACCGCTGTGTGATTTTTAACTCTCACTGCCGCACCCCCTTCGCGTTTTCTTCTCCGATTGCAGCCTGAAACGACTTCACACCGTCGTGATCTATTTGCTTGTAAACAGAAAACCCTAGATAGCTATTTTTTTTTGTCCCCCACCCCCCTCTCTCTCTACCCCTAATGAGGCCGCTCACCGGCCTTCTCGTCTCCTTCTTAGTTATCTCTTCCTCCTTTATTCCGATCCATGGCGCCTCAGATTCTAAACAGGAAGAGACGAAGAAGAAAAACAAGTTTCGAGAACGCGAAGCTAGTGATGATTTGCTCGGTTATCCCAACTTGTAAGTTTGATTTCTCCTTTTGCCCCTGATTTAGATTTCTTTCTCCATTCCAAACTTGATGGGATCAGAATCTGATGAAGGGGACGCTGATTGAAGTGTTGTCGTGATTAAAGTTTGGGCCTGGAACCTTGAGCCTGTCAATTTAGTTAATTTTGGGGGGTTACGTTTAAGAAATATGGAGCTGCTTCTTGAAATTTGTCAACCTTCACTCTAGTTTCATGTTAGGACAGTCAAAATTGAATCTTTTTTTTTTTAATCTTAGTGCTCTTCTTCTCTATATTATTGCAAGTAAAACCCATAATGGGCAAGGCATCTAATTTACGATTTATGTGCTTTTGGTCCTATCTGAGGGGTTGATCTTAAGTCTTAACATTAGCATGCGTTTGGTCTAGGAATGAATTAATCTGCAAAGAGCTGTCTAGTAAAGATGTAACGATTGATGGTTTCATCACATCACTTTCTGATTGCAGAGACGAGGATTCCTTGTTGAACTCCAAATGCCCGAGGCATCTGGAATTGAGATGGCAGAGTGAGGTTAGCTCAAGCATTTACGCCACTCCCTTGGTTGCTGACATTAATAGGTAAAAAGATTTGTTTTACTCTATTCACGTGATTCATTGTTTGAGGTTATGTGCTGACGTGCATTGTTTTACTTGCAATTTTAGCGATGGCAAGCTTGAGGTAGTGGTGCCATCATTTGTTCATTACTTGGAAGTGCTGGAAGGGACTGATGGAGATAAAGTTCCAGGTGTGGCTTAATTTTCTCATACCTTCACTTTCTTATTATCACATTTAATTAGTATTGGTTACTTCGAGATATGATATATTTCTCTTCAAGTTTCACATGAGTATGAACTCCTAAGTAATCTGGTAGATACTTCATTTATTACCGATCATTTCTTCGTTCAGCTTCATTTATTGAATATACCCTATAAATTTTTTGTTCAAGTACCAATTGACCAATTGACCAATTGTGCATGAGGCCAGATTATGTTCTTCATGGTCATCTGCCGTTGATTTTAGTTAAATCGTCATGTACGGGATCGATTTCTTAATTGATAAATAACAAGCAACTTATTGAAAAACTATCATATTTTTCTAGGATGGCCTGCCTTCCATCAATCAACTGTCCATTCTAGCCCTCTCTTGTTTGATATCGATAAGGACGGTACGAGAGAAATAGCTTTGGCTACCTACAATGGTGTAATTAATTTCTTCAGGTAAAGTGGCCTTAGTCCATTCCTCGGTGAAGATTACAAATTAACGCATGACGATCAATTCTATTGTTATGCAGGGTCTCAGGCTATATGATGGCTGATAAACTAGAGGTACCTCGAAGAAAAGTTCATAAGAACTGGTATGTTGGGTTGTATCCAGATCACGTGGACCGTTCACATCCAGATGTACACGATGACTCACTTGGTCGAGAGGCTTCTGATACAATTCCAGTATCTCGTAAGTAATTACCATGGCCATGTCTTCCATCTGTAATGGTTCTGACATGATCGTGCTAGCCACTTTCATCCAAGTTTTATCTAATCGTAGAAGGTATACTACTGTATTAATACTCCTACTTAACTAACATTTCTTCTGGTAAGCTATCTATACAATCCACACTCAGTTTTTATTTTGATGATTTGATATTCATGCACAAAAATATCTATTCTTACATTAATAGGATAAGTTATATTGTGGTGCTTGATGTAATGATTGAAGTATAAATAAATCAAGGAAATATATCTTTTCTTCTATCCCAATTAGCTAGACAGGATTTCTAATTTTTAGTTTTGTAGTACAATAGCAAGTTATTTATGAAATTTAACTATATATACAATTATTTTAGATGATAATTTCTGAGATATTGTCTGCTGCCATAATAATTTTCTGCTTGGATTTATGATATTCTAAACATCAGCATATTGTGCTTTGGACAGATAAAGATGGGAGCACGAGCTCCTCCGCAAATACTTCTTCTAAATCAACACCTGATGCTACTGGCTCAGTGAATACCTCTTCTACATCGACACCTGATGTTACTGTCTCCTCAGTAAACACTTCTTCTACATCATCGCTTGTTAACACCGATTCCATAATCAATGCATCTAAACCAGAGGATGGAAGCAAAGATGAGCCAGTTCAAACAGAGCAAGACAAGAGGTCAGCAAATAATCCTGAGAACACCACGTCTGTTGATTTGTCATCAGAAAGTGTTAAGGTGGAAAATTCAGTACACTCTCAAAGGAGGCTTCTTCAAGAAGTTGACTCAAAAGCAGTTCAAGATGAAACCTCCAGCTCTCATGCGAAAGATGGAGCTGAGATGCATGCAGCAGGTGCAGAAAACAATGAGGGTCTAGAGGAAGAAGCTGATGCATCTTTTGATTTATTTCGGGATGCAGAAGAGCTTCCAGACGAGTATAATTATGATTATGATGATTATGTTGATCCGTCCATGTGGGGAGATGAGGAATGGATGGAGGAGAAACACGAGAAATTGGAAGACTATGTAAACATAGATTCACACATCCTCTGCACCCCAGTAAGTATCGCTTGTTAGCACTTCTTTTGTATTGTTCATTGTTTAAACTTTGTTCTTTGTGTAGGTTATTGCAGACATTGATAACGATGGAGTACAAGAGATGATTGTTGCTGCTTCTTACTTCTTTGATCGCGAGTAAGCTTTTTCCCTTCTTAACAACCCTCTTTATGTAAAAAGCATGAATCTTTTTTTCCCTTTACGTTTATGGACATTCTTCAGATCTGGTACTTTTTGGGTATTAAAATAGATTGGTAGGCCTTGTTATGTATCCTAATCCATGAAATTATCAACTTGCAGTATCTCTTAGTTTTCTGAAACTTAGATTATCCTGATACTTTTGAATTAAAGTTGCTGCGTTTATGCTGGTTTATGCTGGTGTACGACATAAGGATGATGCTCGAGAGTTATAGTTTCACTGAAAAACTTCATAGAAACAATTCTGCAGTTTTGATTGGGTTATGTTGCTGTATGTGAGTTGTATATTACTCAAATCCTTATAAAATTCTAGAATTATGAAGGAAAAGTCAATTTAAAAACAGATTACTACTTTCATAGCTTGTCAGTTTCGTTACCCATTTGAGCAAACGACAGTGATAGCTGCGTTGAGGGAATTTGGATCCTCTCCTACCAAAAAAGTAGAAAAAGTAGTGGAGAGACGACTACCTTATTAACAACCGGTGATTTGTCTAGGGGGTGGTTATGATTCATTCTAAATCTAGCACTCACCACACTCCCTGTGAATTGCGCTCGTTCCTAATTTACACTCAAAGACAAATCACAACCGCTCACTAAATAAATCAACGGCTATTAATAAGGTAGTGGTCTCTTCACGACTTTTTTACTATTGTTTTAGTAGTGGATGTTGAGGTGGTTGGTGGTGCAGTTTGATGCAAGTATAGCTCTATATAATTTTTGGTAATGTTTGTTGATGGGTCATTGTTGCTCTTCATTATTCTTGAATGCTAGATTGTTTTTAGTGTTTATTTCTTAATGCTTTGTCACTTCACATTGTATAGATGTTTCAATGCATGGAGTGCCTATAATTTATTTTACCTTCCTACACTGGCCATGCTTATTGAGAAACTATTTTCATAACTAAATTGTCTAACTAATTTCAAAGCTCTTGATCTAGATCCAGGTCATTAATTAACTGTACGTTGGGACTTTCTTGCAACGTTTTTGGGTTAAAAATATTTACAGAACCTATGCACAGGATTTGAACTCTATAGGTTCAAAGTTTTTTTTATTAAAAATCTTTGCATTCATGTTGTACACTGTCATACCTATTCAACTTTTCTTTGCAATAACTTAACTAACCAATACGTTCACAGATACTATGACAATCCAGAGCATTTGGCTGATTTGGGTGGCATTGATATAGAAAAATATGTATCCAGTGGCATAGTAGTTTTCAATCTTGATACCAAACAAGTTAAATGGACTGCTGATTTTGATCTCAGTATTGACTCTGGGACATTTCGTTCTTATATTTATTCTTCTCCTACTGTTGCTGACCTGGATGGTGATGGAAATCTTGATATTCTTGTGGGCACTTCTTTTGGCATGTTCTATATATTGGATCACCGAGGTAAGCTTGTTTGACTCTTCATTATTTATTGTGCTGTGTTTTATTTACTGCTATCAATAAGGTTGGCACTTGGATATTATCTTCTGTTCACGTTATTAGACGTGTTTGGGATAAAGACTTTGTTACTGTTCATGTCAGCACGTCTGACTAACCTTAGCGGTAATATTTTTTTCTGCTATTTAATTATGTGGATCCATTCCTCCCTCCCTCTGTGCGCGCTTTCCAACAAAAGCCATACCCTAAACTTGGACTTTAGTGACCCAAACAGGACGAAGGGAGGCCCATTTCTAATTCTGGGACCTCCAATAACTTAACAAGGGATTAGTTATATGGTGGGTTTTCCTATTGATGATCCACACACTCTATCTTAAACTATGTATTTTAACAAAAACTGCAGCCTGGCTATCTTAATATGTATACATCTTTTTCAACAAAGACTCGGTTCTGAACCTTGAAACTCCAATAACCCAAAGCCCCACTTTGCCCCTGGACTAGGTCTTAGCTTTCTTATTTGTAGTTGGGAGCAATATATTGACATATTCTAACAACCACTTATTGCAACTTTATATTAAAATCATGCTTACAGGGAAGTACTTATATACTTTATTACCTATTTCTAGGATAAATATGCAAGTCTTCTCTCACTCACAATATATGCTGGCCCATCCTTATGGCTGAGCCATTCCCTCATCTTAATCCTTATCTTTTTTAACAAAAGTTGTAGCTTGGTCCTAACTTTCAATAATCTAAATCCCCACTTTATCGCTGTCCGGGCTTCAGTGTCAGGACTATCATATTGTAATGACTGATCATTGAAACTTCATATTAAAGTAATGCTTAGATAAGATACTTTTATAACACTATTTTACACTGTACAGCTGGTTCTGTTTGTGAAGTTCCTAATAATGCTTTCTTTTTGTAGTACTCCTGGTTGATTGATCACCTGATCATTGTATCCAACACTTCCATTAATAACATTGCTTTTGTAGTTATAGTCTAGCTTGTGCTGCAAACAATACCTGATTGACTTCATTGCTTGTCTTCTTGATTGAATGTACATCCTTGGGTGAATGAACAGTTAGCTGAACATGTGTAATTTGAGTTATATTTCTTAAGAATTTCTGCTCATATGTGGTACTTTCTTATTGATTCTCTATTATTGATAAATATCATTCACTATTATTTATGTGTCTAGGTAAAGTTAGAGAAAAATTTCCTCTTGAAATGGCCGAGATTCAAGCACCGGTGGTGGCAGCAGATATAAATGATGATGGTAAAATAGAAATAATTACCACTGATTCCCATGGCAATGTTGCTGCATGGACAGCCCGAGGAGAGGAAATTTGGGAAGTGCATCTCAAGAGTCTAATTCCACAGGCAAGTTTTCACACTTATGTTTTCCTAATATTTTAGCCTTTTGCAATAACCGGAAATCACCTTCTTCCTTAATGAAAGTGTTAATATGGGGTTAAGAAATAAAGTATATATATAAAACATACAGTAACATACAGTAAGCAAGGGTGCTTATGGTTCCCTGATGGTTTGTCAAATGATTATAGTTGAAATATGAAACATAAGGCACACTCACTTATAACGAACTGCCAATGCACCCATATCCTACCAGACCGCCACACATTTGATGCACTTTTTTCCATTTTAACTATTTGGCTTCATATAACACCCAAGATTTATTGATGATTGTTTAAATAGCATTGTAGCACTATCTATACAGCAAATGAGACAGATCTGTTGACCTATACAGATGAACATACTAGATGTTTCACTTTTGTAGACATGCCAGTGTAAGCAATGACGACAAGATTCAGAGCATCGAAATTTAACATGTGATCTTTATATATAATTAGTTTAGATATTAAGCCATACAAGATTTCTGTAACATGTTAGTTATTATATCACCTTTGCTAGTCAGCAAAGACGTGGTTGAGCTGGGAAAAACATTCACCCATTGTCTCTGTGGTCATATACCAGTAGATATTTGATGAACTATAATAGGAATTGGAGAAACTCAACTGTTTACTATATGGAAAACTTTAAAACTTCATGATATGGATTATAGTGCGTCCGTATTGGTCTTGTTCTGGCCTTTTTCTCTTGCATTTCAGTTAAATTGCCTTTCTGTTCCTTTCTCAGACAGACGTTTTAGTTAGGGTTTTTCGAGATTAACGTATTCCCATTACTCCCTCTTTTTTTTCCTCCATTTTTTAACTTCACGTCTTATTCAGTAGTTAATGACTCTTGCTAACAAGAGGTAATGGTTCTTGCTAGCAAGTGTGTTTTAGATTTATTCTCTCTTCTTTTTTTGGTTGATATTTTCTGACACAATATGATATCCATTTCGATGAAATATTGATATGCAGGGTCCAACTGTTGGTGATGTTAATGGGGATGGTTATACAGATGTTGTCGTCCCAACAGTATCAGGTAATATATATGTTCTTAGTGGAAAGGATGGATCGTTTGTTCGACCCTTCCCGTATAGGACACGAGGGAGATTGATGAGTCCAGTTCTTCTGGCTGATTTAAGCAAACGTGATGAAAAGTTAAAGGGCCTAACTCTTGTTACAACTGCATTTGATGGCTATTTGTACCTAATTGATGGGTCCACTGGTTGTACGGATGTTGTTGACATTGGCGAGACATCGTAAGCTATTTTTTCATCTTTAGTTCATCCTTTATTTGGAAGTTGGATCTTCGTTCATAAGTATGTGTTCTGATGATGATTTCGTAAGTATGTCTTCTGATGGTGGCTCTAAATTTATGCAGATACACCATGGTCTTGGCAGATAATGTTGATGGTGGGGACGATCTTGACCTTATTGTTACTACTATGAATGGCAATGTCTTTTGCTTTTCCACACCCTCACCGCATCATCCTCTGAAGGTAAGACTTTTTCAAATGTTAATTTCACCTTATTTGGTTCTTTTAGTATTGACCAGTCACTGCCATGTTTATGTGTTATTGCATATACCTAGTTTTATTTTCCGAAATATAATTTTGGAATGTCACACCAGTTCACTAGTCAACATTAGAAACCTCTACCCCAGTATTCCAATTTGACAGGAGTTATGACCCTTTTTTTTAACATGGCTGGGCAATAAGGATTCTTGTCTTTAACCTTTTGCTGTTTTTCTATAAAACAAACGTTCCTTTAATTGGCAATTTCAACAATCGTGGTGAAGTCAAGTTGCAGGCATGCATCACGCGTATGTAACGTTGTTGTTTCAATATTATATCTCTCAGTCATTTTCTTCCAGGAATGGAGATCATCCAACCAGGGAAGAAACAATGCAGCAAGTAGATATAACCGTGAAGGAATATACATATCACATGGATCCAGAGCTTTCCGCGATGAGGAAGGTAAACATTTCTGGGTGGAGCTGGAGATAATAGACAAGTACAGGTTTCCCTCAGGGCATCAAGGGCCTTATAATGTCACAGTAAGAACCTAAAACTCACCTGTATTCACGATTCACTTTGACCATGCTTTAGCCTTTTCCATTCTTTGTTTTTTCTTTTGAATATTGCAGACAACATTATTAGTTCCTGGAAATTACCAAGGAGAAAGGCGAATTGTCGTCAACAATGTATATAATCAACCTGGAAAGCAACGGATAAAGCTGCCAACAGTTCCTGTTCGAACAACAGGGACTGTGCTGGTGGAGATGGTTGACAAGAATGGATTGTATTTCTCTGATGAATTTTCTCTTACATTTCACATGCATTACTACAAGCTACTGAAGTGGCTTCTGTTTCTACCGATGCTCGGAATGTTTGGAGTTCTTGTCATTCTACGTCCCCAGGAAGGTGCACCGTTACCATCGTTTTCACGAAATTTGGATTGATATTAATGATATCCAATGAAGATGAGAATACTCCAAAGTGCGATGCTATCTGACATGTATGCCTTGTTACATCTGAATGTGTGAGCATGGACATGCATTCTCTCATAGCAACCTTATTGATGTATTAGCAGCTCAGACACATTGAATGTTTAATCGGGGATATAAATTCCTGCAAAACAAGGGAAGGATGAGCAATCCAAGGTTCCTGTTGAGCCTTCTCTAATGCAGGGCTATCCCATCGACCAATTATCATCCAAAGGTTCTAAGGTGCTTTTTGGTACATCAAGAAAAAATGAATGTAATGTAATAGAGATCCGTGCATCATATGAAGAGATTTTTCATCAATGGATAGAAACTTTGGTGAATGGTCCACTTAAGTTGATATAAGTTTTTCTCTCTCTCTATATATGAACTTATTTCAGGGGATTCTTTTTTTTAAAGGAAAGTATATCAGGGGATCCTGGAAGCCTTTTCTTTTAACTAGTCATGAGTTAGATTATGTTCTTTGTTGTTAACGTATCATGTACGCTACCCTTCGTTATTGTTAGGTTGCGAGCAAATAAATGAGGACGGGAACTAGGGGGGAAAATGTCTGGAGCTAGACTGAGTAGAACCGCAGATACCTCAGCAGTAGCTAATCAGATAAAATCCATTGAGCTAACGGAAATTGATATCTGACTTTATACTTTAAACTTGAAAACCTTCCAATTTAAACAGCCAGGCTTGAACTGACTCAGCATGGAAAGTCACAATAAGCTATGACAATGAATTGCCAGTTCGTGAAGAAAACACATTAAGTAATATTATGCCTACACAAATTTATTCTGATCTTTTGTCTACATAGTTTATTTTCGCTGACATGCGAAGCGCCAAACACAATCGTATAATTCACGGCTAGCAACATTCGAGAACATAAAAAGTTTCTTATGATGACAGAATCTTCTACAGGGCAGGGATTGAAATCAGAAGACTTTCGAAGCAGATCTCTTGCCAAGCCGTTGAATCTCTTCATCCATCCGACCAGTAAGCATCAGTCCAAACATCTTGAAATCGCAGAAAAGCGCCCAAAATGGGTGGCCAAAGGTCGCAGGCTTGTTGCGCTCCACGAAGAAGTGGCTGCACCAAGCAACTCCATAACCTATAACGGGCGCAAGCAGGATGAGCCAAGGGCTGAATAAGCGAGAAAGAAGAACACAAACGAGACTGCAGAGGGTGCCGATGAAATGCAAGAGGCGCGTAAGGGGCTTGGAGTGCTGGGTCATATAGAAAGCCCAGAATTCGTCGAAGTTGCTGGAGTCCATGCCCGTTTCTGGCTAAGAAATCTGACAGAGATGGAGATGGAGAATATCTTTGATCAAACTATCATCTGCTGGCTTGTGTTATTGCTGACTATGTTTTGTAGGCGAAGGTTGTAGTAGAAAAATACAATCCGACTCGTATGCAGGACCTGATCAAAGTAGACTGCTAATTAAAAATCGAAGTCTTCGTCGTTGTTGCTGTTATTGCATAGATCAGCAGCAAGATGTTTCACTTTGAAACTCCCAACTTCTACATTGATATAATGCAGTTCCACAGTTCCCCTATGATTGACATTGACAGATTTATTAAGAATTAGATTTTTTTTCCTCCTCATTATTATATTATCTTCAGCATTATTAGTTGCTGTAGGATAAATTTCTCAATGTCGTTCTATCCGGCCGCCAACATGCTACTAAGGACCGCTGTGGTTTGCAACTGTTTGTTTAAGCCGATCCGGTCCCTCCATTCACATACCTGATTAGCTGATTGCGGTAAAAGGCATGTTTCTGAAAGGTATTATCCTAAACTGAAGGAAATTCGTGTTAATTACATGCAAAATACACAGCGGAATACTATATGTACAAAAAAAATACTAAGCATGTAGAGAGCATGAAAGCCACATCAGGACCATCTTAATTAAATCTTACATGATCCCTATAATAAAGAAAACATCCAACAATTTCGAAAATCATACTTTTGAAGCGTGATTCTATGGTAGATCGAATAACCCCTAGTTTGTTCTCCTTGTTGTAGTAAACCTCCTCGTAGCGGATCTCCAAAGCTTCAAGAGAACAAAAATTGGAGGTTTCTTGAGACATAAGGCAAGATATCCACCACGTGGTTTTTGAATCCTACTACTTTCTCTCACTCAAGATTGCTAGAGTTTTGTAAGAGGTAGAGCTATCTAATTCTCTTATGGAAAGTTAAATTTTTATTAATTCATTAACATTTCCATAAGAGAGAGAGAGAGCTCATATTTATAGAGTGAAATTTGTCATGACTCATCTCATGAGTCATGCCATAAGTCATCAAAAACAATGATTCATTATGTGAGTCATCCCATGAGTCATGAGAAAACAAAACCATGTGCTTAAAAACCATGTTCCCAAATCATACCACTTAATGACTCATTAATCATGGTATAATGAAATGTGTATTTCATAAATAAAAATACCACATCATTATCACTAATGCGGTATTTCATAAATACAGTATTTAGTATTTTCCAATCTTTAACTAATAAGTCATCATATGACCAAAAAGTCAACTAGTTGCCTAAAAGTTAACTTTATGATTTTTTTTTTGGAAATCATTTCTTAAGCACATAGCATTCTGATTTTACCGATACATATAACCATTTATGTGTATCTGGTAAAAAATTATATATGCGTATCAATCATACGCATTACTCTATAAATTTGTATTTTATAGGATTCAAGTACGCGCTTGGTGTGACTCTAGGGCCCAACTTAAAACTCGACAGTAGATCATATCCATAAATACAACAGATGTGCTAGCTACACATAAAGACTACCCGGGTATAAGTTGTGATAAATGTCTGTAAGATGCTAACATAATTTTATCAGGACCACTCAGTGATAATAACGTACAATCCGGTCTCTTCGTCAAACCATGTCAAACTATCGAGCCTAGGGTATGGAAAATTGTCAAACCCTAATAGCTTGATTAGTGTTCGTTGATATTAAACTCATAACCTATAATATCAAATTGACACTCAGTTTATCTTATTTACCTCGACCAAGAATTTCTAGGCTATAGTTATATAAAACAATCTTATGACATCAAACCCCTATACTGGGAGAGACGAATCTCATCTTGGCATCTCAATATCTACTTATGTCCCCAGATGCATCCAACAATAACCGTTATGTACAACTCACTAAGAACTATGGTTAGGTAAAAGTCTAAGTACATCTATACTGATATGTAAGATATTGCACTCATGCCTCAGGTCAAGAGACTACTTTGAACTATATCACTTGAGAACTTCTATTTGACATTTAAGTATAATTACCAATTAGATGTTCTCGGTGAGTCGTTCAGTCAACTCATTCACTAATGAGTCACATGTATATTATATCTTGATGTCTCAGTATCAATGATCTAAGTGATGGATCATCGTCCTTCTAATGACAAATAGAGTATACATTAGTCTTTACCAAAGTGATGATGTTCTTTCTCAACACTTCATCGACTAGAAACATTTTAGAATCTACGTTAGCGACTAATCAGATCTCTTCTTCATTACTATCACTATCGAAATTCTGATAGTCTAGTATCATTCTAAGAACTTTATCTATATTTAAAAAAACCAGATAAATACTGACCAAAATAACATACTATCATTTTGAACAAGGATGTTGTATTCATATAGGTCCTGTTACAATATACAATTATTGCATGCAGGGCACCTATATCTAACATAAACGACATATTTCTGGGGGTATTATGCTCAAGGACATGTTTTTAGAGCCGTCATGTTAAAAGACATATTTTTCAGGGGTATGATGCTAAAATGTAATAGGAGACTTTTTTGAAATAGACCGGTTTTGAAAAATATTTAGCAAAACCGACCGTTTTGCTAAATATTTAACAAAACCAACATCTTTTTAGCCGGCTCACCAAGGTTAGCCAAAAAGAGGTCGATTTTGCTGAATTAGGGTTTTAAAACATAAGAGACTAGTAGTCCTGTGTGTTTAGGGGTCGCTAGTCTGTCGCTACACTAAAATCAGAAAACCCACTAGTCCCGTGGGCTTTCTCTTCACAAATACAAAACCGACATTTTAATCAGGGATACATGCCAAGATTCTTGGCGTCGCGGATCCTGGGCGTCGCGGATCCTTGGTACAACTGCTCTTTTGACTTTTTTGGATGTTTGTATTAATCTTACAACGTTTATATTGTATGTAAGCAAAATCAAGCGTTTACGATACTTGTTAGTTGTTAGCATTGTAGAGCATAGAATTATTTGTTTTCTCAAGGGTTCATCCAATTTAGATTTTCATAATCAATGAGAATTAGCTAACCTCAAAATTTTGAAATGAAGGCTTTAGCAAGATTTTTATTTTATTTTATTTTTATTTGGCCTTTGATCTGAATTTGGATTAGTTTCTAATGACCAAAGAGTAATTCAACCTAACCCTGATCCAAGAACTTTTGCGTGTTTATCTCTTACAGGTTTTGGATTATATACAGGATACCCTTGAAGACATTATTATGATTGCTTCCCAACCCTTTAATATATATTAAACTTATATTTTTTTAATCCATTATATTAGTAACTGTGTATCCTTAAGTTAAATCTCGTCGCTAACTCAACATTTGTGGATATTGTTGAATTCTTATATTTGTCATTACGGGCATAAGTCACTAATTATAAAGTTTGAGGGGTGAGGAGCAAGCAAATTTCTGAGCGGGTTTCCAATCCGAACAAAAATATCCATATATATTATTCTAGTGTAGTGCATTGATGGTGTATTAGAAGAGATTAGTGCATCATTAAATTGGAAGAAATCAATGTTACAGAAAGTAGCAAAGACGCTCCGTCCGCCTAGACGTAAGCGGAGCTCAAGACACCTACTTTTGGCTGCGGCCATGCTAGGATGCCGGAGTGCTTAGGTGCCACCTAGACCTAGGGCTAGCTTTTAAATAAAATAAAAAAAATAAAAATAAAAAATAAAAAATAAAAAACGGTAGAAACCCGCCCAGCCCAATCCAAAATTAAAAAAAAGGTTTTTAATTAAAACCCGACCTGCAAACCCAAAACCGACCCGCTAACTCATTAAGACCAAAATCCATTTTCCTCTGGATCTCTTTTCCAAACTCCCTTCATCGCCGCCGCCGCCGCCTCCGCCTCCTCTTCTTATAATTATTTTTTTAGTTCTCTTTAATTATTTATAATTAAAAAACTAATAAACACATTTTAAATTCCCTTTTATTTTATATATAAGTAGAGATTAATGTTTTCCTATTACCTTTACATTTTAAAAAATTGTCAGATCTTCTTAATTCCGTAAAAGATAAATTTCACTAAACTTTCAATAAGTTTGGCTATTTAGCACTAAACCTGAAATTTTTTTGAATTTTAGAAAACCATCAAAATATTTATTAATTGAAACCCGACCCGCAAACCCAAAACCGACCCGCTAACTCATTAAAACCAAATCTACCCATTTTCCTCCTGATCTTCATCGCCGCCGCCTCCTCCTCCTCCTTTTCGCCGCCGCCTTCTCCTCGATCTGATCACTGCGCTTCCTCCTTGAGCTGATCACTGCACGTCCTAGTCTTCTCCTCTTCTCTTTTCAAGGTAAAATTTTCATCTTTTTTTCACTGTTTTTTTTCTTCACTGTGATTGACTGATTGGTAAACAAATATGTACATGATGCAAATTGATCCTCTTTGCTGCTAAAAAAATTTCTTATTTTACAGATCGAAATGCAATTATACAGAGTTTAGTGAGATCTTGTTGATGACATTGTTGATCTTTTATGCCGTTTGAAGATCCAATCTTGATATAATATAGAAACAGTTCAACTGAAACAAATCTTCATGCTGCAGACCTGAAAAATTCCTACCAAGATCATTGCAAGAAAATCAATTATTATAATTAAATAATTTAAAAAATAGTCAAATTCCTAGGTGCGGGCTCAAATGCCTAGTCCGCCTAGGGCTTTGTGCAACATTGGAAGAAACTCTTTTGATACATCATTAATATCGTATATCGATACTAAATTTTTTATTCCCATATACCAAAGTTCAAGTTAAGTACAAAAATTTTCCATTCAATTTGTTCTATTACGCACAAATTGAATTTTGAATCCTCTATACCAAAGTTATGGTCAAGCACCGCCAACTAGTTCACTATTGTACCAAAAGTTTGTGAAGGTTGAAGCTCTGAGCTCCCCTTTTATTGTCCATAGAAGAATTTTCTATAACACGACCAAAGAGCTAAGTTAGGTTTTGTTATCTTATAAGTTATAACTTTTATGATACAAATCTTGACCCTATTTTATTACCCATGTAGCAAATGAGCCCTAAAGATTTCGGGATGGTGAATTAGGGTTCCAGATTCTGTAGCTGGTATCTCATCACTACAGCTCACCACTAGGGCTTCAAAAACTCTAACACACGCTGCTGCTTTCAGATGTATTTTGAGTAGCTATTTATTTCATTTTGTAGATTCACAGGAGTCACTGGAAAAAATGCAGTCTCTCCGGAGAAGTTTTAATGGATTTAGAAATCATCTCGCCGGTTCCAAGATTACGTTATCTGGCACTTCTAAAATCTGCACGGTGAGTTGTCATGATAATTTGTCTACTTTGGTGCTTGACGACGAAATTATATTTACTCAATTATCTATCACTTCTTTTAATATTGCAATCTGAAATTCAATGTCTCTAAACATATTCTATAACATCAAACAAATTATTATTCTATGTCATCATTCGGATCTCCTGAAATGGTCATATTATCATCAGTTCAGTTGTAATCAAATAGTTTGATTATTTTCATTTTGAAAACACATGAGAACTGGTTTCTTCTGAATCTCCACATAAGATGCGTGCGTGTATTATCTGATTGGATTCATTTTCTAACAATACATCTTCAGTGTTCAATCTATCTATTATTGACAACGTAACTAATATTTTCACCTTTATAGGAGCAGGAACCTTCCGCATGGTATTAGCATATGAAGCTTTAATCCCTTAAAAAAATGGTTCACAGGGAAATTTCTCTGCTGCCTCCCAACACCCATACAGATGAATTAATGGTAGACCTCCTTACTATCCTTGTCACTGTTCTAGGAAAAATTGCATCTGTTTCCATCCAACCTGTCACGTGCTCTATTCGGAAGCTTGTTAAAAGACATCCAATATGGAGATTTGCTGATAAGACTGATGAGAATTAGTCTTCCTCTGGATAGAATTCTTCCTATCCATAAAGCTGGTCTACTGTCTAACTTGATTAAAGACTGTCAACCTTTGTTTCTATAGTTAACCTGGCCTTATCAATGGAATTCCCTAATAAGTCGTTGGGAATACACCAACTTTGCATTTCATCATGGGGAAATATGAGTTTGCTGATTCGTATTACTACCCAACAAAATAATTAAGCTCTTCGAAAAGTTTTATCTTTAACTCTGAGGCTAGTCCAAACCCATTTAAAATTAAAACTGTCTACTGTTCCTTCTCTTCCTTACTACATAACATCATAGTTTTATAATATGTCATCAGCATGTTGTACTCTGGAGCAAACACATTAACCGTGTACACAATAGAAACGGTAAAAGTGGATTTCCCCTGTTCTACTTCCCTCTTGCAAATGTTCCACCCTACAACTGAACCATTTTCCGAGGGATGCATATTTCGCCACTCCCAAAGACATGGATGCATTTTATCCATCAGCAAACTTTGTAGCTTTCACAACTTTGAATCGGAATTGTCAGTTCATCATAACATAAGCCATTGTCTAGTTTAAGTAGGTTGCCATCCACATTATTTTTCTTAACATATTTGGGTATTCTCTCCTTTGCAGTCGCCACCTTGTCTAAAATGCATCTTCCTCTTATAAAATTTGTTGGTTCTGACCAGTTTTAAGCTGTACTAACATTATACAGGCCTTACTGTTTCCAAACATGAACAGGCTGGTTATTATCATGCTTTCATGCATTGTCTTCATATGAATGCTGAATGGTTACTTGTTGTGATACCTGTTACTCTTTTGAGATAAAAAAGGATTCTAAATATATCTGCTGAATGTATGTTTCTTGCAGGAAAATAAACTGCATACTCCAAGGGAGCTGGTGGTATGTGCTCAGCAAAAATTTCACTGTGATATTGTTACAAGAAATCCCCTCTTGAGGTACATGACAACACTTGGCCATCCCGAGCCATCTCCTGGGAAAGATAGTGCTGTTGAATCCCCTGATGCAGGTCAACCTCATCGAATCAAATTTAAGAGGCTTGACAAAACTGCAAAGCATATAATGAATGTAAGGTTATGTCAAACTTTAAACTGGGTATACATGGATCATAGCCTGCTTGATGCATACCCATAATCACCAGCAATAATTTAGCATATAATTCCTGCCATTTGCAGATTCTTGATAAAGAAGCAGTAGAGAAAGTGCAAGCTGAAAGGGAGATCCCGGATATAAAACCTGGTTATATTATCCAGCTAAAAGTGGTAGGAAAATTGTTCTCTGTCATGTTTATATCCTTATCCACAATATGGTTGATGATGCATTTTTTGATTCCATTGAAAGATTACAATAATTTGAAGGGAGTAAAATGGCGGTAGAGATTGATTTCCTTTGGTTTTATTGAGGAAAAAAAAAATACCTATGAAAAAAGGAAACATAAGCCCACCTTCCTGCTTCTATTTACCATTCCTGTTCTGTTGCAATCTGTATTAGTGCCCTTGTTTTTTTCTTCCTGCCTTGACTTCTTGCTTGGGTGCATAACATCTGCAGGAAGTGCCTGAGAACAAACGTCGTGTTTCAACTGTGAAAGGCATTGTCATTGCAAGGAGGAATGCTGGTCTGAATACCACATTCAGATTACGCAGACAGGTGGCTGGTGTTGGTGTGGAATCTGTCTTTCCTTTGTAAGTTGAAATTTTTGAGGTCTCCTTCTATGTTATCCGACAGCTTTTGTTGTGTATGTTTACATGCTTTGCATTTGTGGTACACCCAAGATTATTATTCAATAACATTTTCTCATAAGGTTCATTTTCATAAATTGATTTTTTAGTTGTGCTTGTCGTATGTCATTTTTTTTAGATCAACTGTTTGAACATGATCTCATATGAATAGCCCGAATGTTTAGAATATGACAATATCCTAAATGGAGGAGCTAAGTGGCTTATAACCTGGCGATTTAAAATTTTAAATCAATGGTATAAGGAGCATAAAAGTAGTGAAAGTTCGTCCTTGGAACACAGCTGAAGGATTCCATGTACCGAAAGCGATTGATTTCTAACTCCTGTGTTAGTTTTGCTTTTTTAGGGACTCGGCCATTTTAATTTCGCCTTCTGAAGTACTCAATTCAACTTTTCTTGTTTAATATGCGTTGGTGATTACTATTCTATTGGAAGAACTTGGAAAATGTAATTTGGAGACTGGAATCTAGTTTTTGAATATGAGCCAACAAATTTGCGATGTATCTATCTTCCATGAGTTTGAAGATTATACTTTAAAAAGAAGCTATTGAGTTTAACTCTATCTACAATAGCTGGAGTGGCAGAGAAGATGCTGTTAGTTTTTGTCCTCTTCTGAGGCCCTGCCTTCTAACCATTTGTAATTTCGTATAAAAATTCACTGTTAATTGTTCATAGAAGAGTTTCGGTGGCCATCTTTTGAATGCAGGTCATAAAGCACCCAGTTTGCATCTTTTTGTTGTTACTCATCGGCTATGAACCTTGCCTTCTAGTAATCTAGTGTAGTAAACTTTTGTTGCTTTTGTGGTTTGTTATCAGTATGCCATACTTACTAAACCTTGTGGTGTTGCTGACACTCCCAGCATGTAACCCTTCCGCGTTTTATTGTAGCTGTACTTATAGTTCATTCGTCATTTTGTACTGTTTTCTGACCAACACTTCAGTTATTACCTATTTTGTGACTTTTTATGCTATTTTGTGCAGGTATTCTCCAAACATCAAGGAAATGAAAGTCCTGGAGAAGAAGAATGTGAGGAGGGCAAAGCTATACTACCTTAGAGACAGGATGAACGCACTTAAGAACAAATGAGTGGTTTCTTCTAATATAGATTCTTGAGACCCTGTCCATCAAAAGAAAAGTTTCGGCTGTAGAATTGACAGTGGTGGTGTTAATAATTTTCAGAAATTTTGGACCCTGCTTAGTTTATGTCATTATGTGGCACGGAACGATAGTTCTGTTAATTTGTCAGCACTGGTATTTACCTTTGTGTACTCAAGATTACGTTTTCATGGTTGAAGGTCTAGTTATTATTCTGTTAGCTGTACGATTTAATATTTGTTGATCTTCAGGCAATATAGGGTACCTTATCCTCAACTTGCCCAAAGGTAGATATCAAAGCAAGTTCAGGTGAGCGCGTATTGCTTTGTGTTTTCTCCTTTTATTTCCGATGGATTTTCTCCTGCATCGCTTTCCAGTGGTTTCTAGTTATTACTTCTGCTTGGTGACGACTAGCAGCAGGGATTTTTTTTTTTCAGAAACCCCGTACGCAGTGATGATTATGATGAACGGTACTTCCTGATAATGGTCGAGAGTAAGTCAACTTGATGACATGCACACATTTGTGAAAGGAGAAATTTAACCTTTACAAACAAGTCTCTGTACATCAAAAACTCGAACATATGTTCCCAAAATCAAACACTAACCCTCCCTTAGTCACTCACTCAACATTGCAAGTGAGGACATTGGAAGAAGAAGTAGAAGAGGAGGGGAGAGCTGCATCTCTCTGAAATCCTTAGGAGGAGAGCTGCATCTCTCTGAAATCCTTTCTGATCCCCCACAACACCTCTGCACACTTCTTCATTGACGGCCGAGACTTCCTGGACGCTGCCACACACTCTTTGGCAAGTCTCAGCACCCTATCCACCACCATGATCGACGTCGGGCTCCTCCTCAGCCTTGGGTCCATTGCCAGCACCCCGCCCCCTTCTTTCAATCTCTGCATTGCCTGCAAAAGTTTAATTAAAAAAAAAAGCTCAGCCTTTGCTACCAAAATTGTGAAAAAGGTCCGATCTTTGCTAAGGAAATGGATGCCTACCCAATGTGCAGTGATTCTTTCCTTCGAACTTCGGTTTCTCTCAATGGGTCTCCGTCCAGAGACCAGCTCGATGAGGAGGACGCCGAAAGAGTAGACGTCACTTTTCTCTGTGAGCTGGTAGGTTTGGAGATACTCTGGATCCAAGTACCCAGCAGTGCCTTTGACCTGAGTTGAGATATGGGTCGCGTCTGGGTCTTCAGCCGCTAGGCGGGCGAACCCGAAATCCGCAACCTTGGCTCGGAGCTTCTCGGTGAGTAGGATATTGGATGACTTTATGTCCCTGTGGATGATGGGATGATCTGCATAACAAAAGTACATGAAATGCAAAACTTTCATTTTACAGTTTGGTCATACTATTACATGCGTGCTAACGGAAGTCTTAAAACAATTTTCTTAGAATTTGTATCACGTGGAATTTGTTCTGCGTTGAAAGTCGGAGATAACCTGTGTACATGTGCAAGTAAGTGATTGCGTGAGCTACATCAATGGCAACGTCCAGCCTAGCTGCGATCTCCAGCACTTCCCCATGAATGCCTGCATATATAATTACCAGTTCACTTCGTCCTTCAATAACACTGCCCTTATTTTCCATATTCAATCGAACTATTCTGTACCCCATCAATCAAAACGAGTCTAGTTACTTTATTTTTTGATACGTACATCACAGAAAAAATTCCGGACCTACCATCAAGATGTTGCCGCAGAGTCCCATTTCCAACATGCTCAACCACAACAATGCGTTCGTCATCATGCTCCAGGTATCCAAGGAATCTGACCAAGTTCAAATGCTCTACTTTCGACAACGTTTCGATCTCGCTCTTGAACTCGGATGACAGTCGTTGGTACAGATTCTACAGTAGGACTCCAGTCAGCAATATATATATATAGGCTAATCAAATCAATTGTTCGTTATTATTAGAAACTAACGTTGAGGACTGTATTGTATGGCCACTGATGTTGAGATTAAAGACTTGGAAATTAAACTTGTTTTCGACCTTTTTGGCGCGCTTAACAGCAACAAGAGTGCCGTCTTTGAGTTTCCCCTTGTAAACAGTCCCAAAGCCTCCTTGTCCGATTATATTTTCTGTGGAATAGTTTCGGGTGGCCCTGGAGATATCTGCGATGGAGAAGTCTCTCGTTCCTCGTCCATCATCGTCCGCGCCGTACGAACCGCTGAATCTGCTTAACTTAGAGAGGCTGGTGCTGCTCACGCTCGATGTTTTCGACCCTGGAAACATCCGCAACGCTCACGTTTAATTCGCAACAGTGTATAATATTAAAACAAATAAAAAGTCCAATCGCAGCAAACAAATTAAGCAGAGAAGAAAACGGAAGAATTAAATTCCTATGCCCATGACCATGTCATCTTTGCAGGGACACCAGCTCTAACCCATTTAATTAGTCTAACAAGCTATCTCGAGATACCAAGTCATCTCCCGATCTTTAATTTCATGCTTACCTACCAGAACGCCGCACGCCTGAATTTCTTCCTGCTTCGGAAATTTCTGCAACGAAAATCTTCATAATTAAGGTTTCGAGGCGAAAGCACGCACATACCGTAAAAGCTGCAGGAGACGTCATTTGACGGAGTGGTGGTTCGGCTGCTGCTATCCTGGTCTTCCTCCTTTGCGGACTTGACGCCACAGGGGAGGAAACAACTGATAAGTCCTCCAAAAGATCCTTGGCCTCCTCCGCCTTTCGAAGACTTTGAAGGATCGGGGGGGTTGGATGGGCTGCCGTTATTAATCGACGACCGCCAGAAACCAGGCTCTGACGGAGGCCCCATGATGATCGAGCAATATTGCCTGTGTCTTTTTGTTTGCAGGGGGCCGGGAGTTGAGGAGCTTGCTTCTGCGTAGAAAAGCTGGATCCTGAGGTCGTGATTCGAGCCCGATCCCTACCTGTGGGTCTCGAGAGAGGGCATTATTTCGGTTGTTGGGAGTCCCTCTCTCTAATGATGACGGCTGACTTGCTCATGTATTGTAGACCTTTTCATCGCCGCAACCCGCAGCTTAATAAGGCTGTTTCTGGAGGGGTTAATTGCTAAGTCAGCGTTACGTCCCTGTCTTTTTTGCAGGAGAAGTAAAATAACTTCACTGATTATTCCTGTATCTTAGTTGAATGAGCAATTATTGCTAGATGGTATATATGCCTGTTGCTTTGTAATGACGTCAAGCTGATGCTTCAAGAATATAATTAACTACTACGTGCCAAAGAGTTTTTGTTTGAGTAGTCAACATGATATTATGGTTCGTTGCGTAGACTTAGATGGCTTCTTTAGATGCCTATTGGGGTCATTTGCATATGTACCCCTCAAAGCATGGGTATCTGCCAAAAAATTCCCTCCACATGTCAGTATTTGCGGCGCTACCTCTTAAATTTCATCAATTTTGGAAAAAGCTACCCACAAAGCAAGCTAATTTGCAATCGCAATATAAAAATTATCAACAAAATAGTTAAAATTTAAGCACCAAACTGATGATTTGTTGATTTTAGGGTTTTTTTTTTAAAAAGCTAAGTTGATGATATGAGGGGAGGGTTTGCAAATACTAAGACTTCGGGGGTGTATTTTTGCAAATACCCAAATGACCCCAGAAATTAACTGGTCAATGGGATTGATGCCCAAGTCACGACAATGGCAACAATTAAAAGAAGCCGGCAAGACTTTTCTGAATTTAACGCTACCGAAAATTTTAATACATGCAGATGTAATTCTAACAAAAGAAACGCCATAATCCCAGTTTGACAATATTATATGAAAAAAAAACTAGAGGAGATGTGTGTTCATAGAATGTATTTTTCCACCATCCTTTTTTTTTTTAATATTTAAATCTATTGATTTCACTTTTTATTCTTTGTTCATGACGTCGATTTGAGATGGGTATTTATCTTCCGCTGCGTTACGCTCTTCTCCAAGTAACATGATACCTAAAACCTACATTTTAAGCGTAGACCATAGAGTCTTCTCATAATCCCGTCACGACAGCTGCTTAGCAAATAAATTATTTTTCAAGAGCATTACATGATTAATCACGGAACAGAGTCACCCGCGGTCAGAAATTGCAGACGATTTGCGAACAATGACGAGCAACATACGCTAGCTTCCTCTCACACATACACAAAAATGTAACAAAAGTTTTACTACGAAAAG